AATTTTAAGCAAGCAGTATTTGGGTCCATACTCAGCAGAGGAGCAGTGTTGAGATCATGAGCCAGAGTAGAGGCGCCGCAGAGGACCATCAACCAGTGTGGCAGGCCTGTTACTCATCCATGGCCAAGGAAAGCTGAGTGATTGCCTTTGGCCAGGAAGCTGGCTTGTAGGGTGGGCTGCCCTTTGAGCATTTATCAGTGCTAAAGGAGTTTTGTAACAATTAGCTGAGCAGGGATATTTGGCCAAGGCTGAGGACCAGAAATGGAGAGACAAACCTGCAAGCAAGGCTGGGAAGAAACACTGCAGACAAGAGTTAGATCCTAAAGCTTCTGAACCTGATTTGTAACCTGTTAGTTTCCCTAATAAACCTCCATAATCGTGAATACATCTGTGTGGCCATTGCAATGGGTTATGGAATCAGCAGAGAAGTGAGTGCTATGGAAGGATGGCTGATGTCTGGATGTCTAAGCAGGATAAAGGATGTTGGAGGGTGAAGGCACATTGGACCTGTGCCGTATGGGAATTGGCTGTGGAATGGTGTGGAATTTAACTCTCCTTCTCCCTAGTTGGAGAGGTCAGACATGACCCCCAAGGCATTTTCTCACTTATATACTAGAAAATTGTCTATCTAAAACTCAAATTCAACTTGGTGTCCTGTATCGTTTATTTGCTTAGCCTGACAACCTCAGAGCACAGGCCTATCCACAAGGCAGCTCCACATTCTCCTACCTTGAAGTGCATTCTTACTAGCGCAGGGACCAAGGGTCCAAGATTCACTGTGATCATTATGACAGCACTACCCACAAGAGCAAAAAATGGATGCAATATCAATAGGAATAGTTACATAAACTCCTTGGAATAAAATATAGGCATTAAACTAATTATGGAATAATTATGTAAAATATCTATAGTGTAATGCCTCCTATGAAAATGTATCTTTCATATGGTTACAAAAGTAAAAACATACCTGTACAGAGGATAAAGTCAGGACGATCCATTTCAACCAGACTCACTGACATTGAGCGGATTCTGACTCATCGTGACCCTATGGGGGCACAGTAGATTTGCTCCAGTGGGTTTCCAAGAATGTAAATCTTTATGGGAGTAGAAAGTCTCATCTTCCTCCTGAAGAGCAGCTGGTGGCTTAGAACTGCTGACCTTGTGGTTAGCAACCCAATGTGTAACTCACTGTGCCCCCAGGGCTGAAGCACTTTACTAGGGGATGAGATTACAGAGGTAGTAATATTTTTTAACTTTGATAAAAATAAATTGAACATTTTCCAGTACAATTTCTACATGTACAATGTGACCACAGTAAATATTGTTTAACATATACAACAATTACCAAGGGGGTTTTGTTTTTAACATGTTCTAAAACATTTACAATAAATAAAATTTGGAAGGTGTTCTACGTTAAATGTTAGAATCTTGCATTGAAATTTGCAGCTATGAGGAGTGTTAGCATGTAAGCATAAATGAAGCAAAATTAAATCATAGGTTCAAATAGATGGTAATTGTTACCTATGTTCTAGTAAATATATCTCATTAAATTCAGTCTGTTCGACTCATTCATATTGAGATCTGACTTCTAATGTGTGTATTTATTGCTTCCAAAGTGCTTATTAACCACTGAAATTGTATCGATTCCAATTCTAAGTGACCCCGTATAGGATTTCTGAGACTATAAATCTTTATGGGCGTAGGTAGCCTTATCTTTCGCCCTGAGGAAGCATTAGTCTAACGTTTATGCCACTGTATTAGGTACTCATTTTTAGCAACTTCCTTCATTACACTTTCTTCAAAGTTGACCAAATTCCCTTTGGAATCTGGAATTACAGACTGGTTTTACTAGTCTAAAGATAAACTACATTCCAGGAACCTGGGCCACAGTACTTAGGGAGAAACTGCTATTTGTTGCTTCAGATTTGTAAAGTATTCCAAGTTTCTGTGAGCCCTTAAAAGACAAGTTTTTTTCTCTTCTTCTAACAGAAAAGGTTAAGAAACAAAAATAATTTACTAATTCTAGTAATTTTGAGACTAGAGATAAATATTATCCTGAAATTACTGAGTAGTCTTGACTTCACATTTTCATTAAGGATACTTATTACAAATTCATTTTTCTCCTAAACAATATATAGAATTGGTGTACTTATAAAATTTCCACAGACACTAAGAAGCAACTATTACTGCTTGGCTGCCTTTTGGATAAGATCAAGTGTAGCAACTACTGGTGTCTTCCTGCCGGTAGCATAGGAGGATGGACAACACAAGCTTATGAAAACTACAGGAAACAATTAGTCCAAAGGACTGTGCTAATGGCTCACATGCACCACAATCTCCTTTAGCCTGTGACCCAAAGAACTAGCTGGAGCCTTGCTAGCACTGCAGCCCTCTCTTAACTCGGCCCACAATAGAAGGCCTTGTCAGAATGGGTGTGAAAAAGAAGGTAGGACAAAATTCAAAGACCAAAAAACGCAAATCACAAAACCGGGTTTACTGGTTGGAAAGAGAATGGAGAACCCACCAAGACTAGTACTCTTTAGAAAATCTCCTAAACTGAAATTGAATACTCCTTGAGATCATTTTCCAGCCAAATAAATAAAACAAACAACATGAAGAGCGTTTCAGATAATCAACTACAGGCCATCAACAAGGCCACAGTTGGCCCAAACCAAAGACGAGAAGGCACGGATGGACAGGCGAGCAGATGAATGGAAACAAGGGTCCCAGGGAGGCAGCCAGGGGCATGCTGATACACCGTGGGGATTGTACCGCACGCCGTGGAATTAATTTGTGTTATCAACTGAGTTTTTGTTTTAAATGTACACAAATAGTATCTGCAACTCATGGTTCACAGGTAACATCAAGTCCTCCAGATTTATCCACGTTGACCATTATATAAATTTAGTTCATTCATAATTGCCATGTAGTAATTTCACCACGTGAAATGATCGAACGTGTCCATCCCCCTTTTATGGGCATTTGGGATGTCCTTCATGATCATACACAACGCTGCAGTGCGCAGCCTTGGGCATGTCCCCCTCCTCCATGTATCTCAGTGTCTCTTCACCACCAATTGATACTGCTACTTGTGCTGAGTTACACGCTTGCCAACACTCGTTACTGATCTCTATCGTTGCTGCAGTTTGCGTGTGCGCACTGGCGTTCCACATGGCTTTGGTTTCCAAATCGCTGATGACTAGTGAGGTTTAACAGCTGAGACTATTTGTGCTCTTTTGTGAATTGCCAGTTCACATACTTTTGTAAAATTTTCTAGAGTCATTTTTCTTTGAAACAATGCTTCCAACTATCCTACTTACAAAGTAACATGTACATTTAGAGAAAAGGCACTTCTTTTGCATTTCTGTGGCGAGCAGCAGACATTTTACATCTAGGAAGGAGTTCAAAATAAGTCTTTGATCCCCAGGCATTTCTAACATGTGGGCTCTCAACGCTTTCTCTAACTCTACCAGATGTAGCAAAAGCATCAACTCCCTCTGTTACAGATCTCTTGGCTTTTTTATGCAGCACGGAGTTCCAGATGTTCTTCCAGCCTGTAGTTTGCCCAGTTCCCTCCAAGAAGCAGTCTGGACTGGTAGATACTCTCTGATTTACAAGGTGGCATTTTATGCCGCTGGGAGGTTAAATAGATGCAACACTGTGTAGAGTCTGATCTGACCTATTTAGTTTAGACTTGAGAGAGGAACAATCTTGAGCTGAAGTAGAGGAAGAATTTTAGGGAAGAAGCAAATGGCTTGAAAAAAAACGGTCTTCCTTGCTTTGAAATAAAGTGACACTGCCTAGCCTGAAAGTCCATAGTTTGCAGGATGAAGTTAAAAGTATCATTGTAATACAACTCAACACATGTTGCTCAGTTTCCTTTCCTGCTATTTTTATTATGTGCCTGGTATTCTTTTGGCCCAATTCTTTTTACAGAAAGGTTTGCTCAACGCAACATAAACCTAATGGGAAATCGAGTGGAGAATTCAGAAGTAGTTCTTCAAGTAGACACACAGATTTTCAGAGTTGTTTATTCTGATTGTCTCTGCAGGTCTTTTTGGTTAAGACTAGGGATCTGAAAGAGACTTGGGGAAGAGCTACTCATCATTACCAATTTCTTGATAAGTTTAAATCTTTTAATCCCCATTAAAATAAGCCATTTAAAAATAAGCATGAGAACATCAAATTAAGATTCAGTCCTGCCCTGACAGGCAATAATGCATAATTAAATGAGTATATGTCAGTTGTAGGACCCAACACTAATATTTGGTGCATAGCCCTGGCATCAGATACAACAATTTGGAGAGTGTTGGTTTTTTCCTACCATGCTGAATGCCGAGTCAGATAATTTTTTTCTTCTTTTCTTCACATATAGGCTCACAAAGCTTGGGACAAACAGAATAACAGATGGGAATTAAATAGCAGAATAAAGTTCAGGAGTAAGGAGTGGGGTAGGACACGTCTGGAACAATATGGGGTAGTTCTAATCATCCGTTTATTTATACCGCAAATTCTTCCAAACAATTTAAGGCTGCTCACAAGCTGGGTTGAGAAACATAAACTTTCTTATAAGGAAGAAGTGAAACTAAAGAAGTTTAACTTCCCAAATAAAGTACCCTAGCTAAATGAGAATGCATACCCCAGGATTTGTAATTTTGGTGAAAAAAACAGAGGAAATGTTCCTTTTCTTGACAAACTATCCCCACCACCACCCAGGCCACTGCAGCATAAAAAAACCCCAAAACCCCACTGAGGCTCCTGCAGGTCTTCTGCAGCTCTCTAGTCCTTTCTTCTGAAACTTCTCGAGCCGTGACTCCAACCTTTTCCACGAGCATCTCAGCCACAGACCAGCATTGTTGTTGATGGAGGTATCGTGTACTTCAAGGGTGTGGGCAGATACAGAAAAGAATCCCTGTTACAGACACTCTGGCATGATCAAATGTTAATTTCTATGGTCTGTGTGCATCACATGCGGAAATCAGAGTGACAGAATTTCGGAATACTTTGGAAAAAAAAAAAGCATCACTTTATTTGTAGACTTAAAAAGTCGTACATAGAAACTTATATTACAATCCTGTGAGACTGAAAGAACTGTTAGGGAAAAAGGAGGGCATTACTTTGATTGATCATTAGGAAGTTAGAGAAATAAACAAAAACAGTAAAATGTTAAAAAAATTAAAGAACATTTTCCAGGTACAAATTTTATAAATACAAAGCAAATGAACAAATTACTCTGAATGCTAAATAAATATCTAGTTAATAAACTCAGACTTACTACCTCCAGCCAATACTGGTACAGCACTTAAAGGATATCGATTGGATTCATTCATGTGTAGTGTTACAAAAATGTGCTTGTTAAACAAGTCTTAAGACATATACACATTTTTCTAAACTGTGGTAGACCAGAAGACTCATCTGTGTAGATAAATATCTCTTAATACCACAACTTCTTTCAAAAAGTGTCAATGACAAAATAGAATCATAGGTGAAAAAATATTTTCCAAGCTATTTGGACACATGAATGAACTAAAAAATGTACAAAAATCTCTGTAAACCAGTACTGTATCCAATATATCTATCAAACTTATTAGATACTGAACAAAACTGTAGCAAAGGAAATCCTTCCTACATTCTCCTGAGTGCTTAACATTAACATTGAGAATATAGTGCAGGCCACACTTCAGTGTGGTTGAACAGCTGCTATTGCTTCATATAGATATCTGCTTCAGAGCATGGTTTAATGTTCCGCTTTCATGAACAATTTGCTTTTCTTCAAATGTAACCTTTAGAAGGATAAAATTAGATGCGTGACTTTTTTGCAGGTGGTGGTGAGGTAACTTGGTCCACATTACCAGGTGTGACGTGGAGTCCAAGCTTTTGAGCCTGAATATGAAAAAATGCTTGAAGCCTAATTCCAGCTTTTGCTTCACTTGTGTTACGAGGGTTGTACTCAAAGCAGTTCGAAAACATTAACTCGATGTCATCGATAAATTCAGCTGAAAAGGAAGAAAACAAGATTAGAATGAAAGCACAGATTTTCAGATCATAAAAATTATAATTTTTATTTGTACTGTACCCAGAAACTTCATTATGAAAAAGGCTTACTTTTATCTTTAGAAATGAAAGTCTCGGAAATAAGTTAACAGAATTGAGACTTAAAACTTCTTAAAATTACAGAGTAAGATACGAAATAATAATAACAATATATGATTGATCAAGGATTCATAAGGGTGGGAGGCCGGGGGAATGAGGGGAAAAAAAGGAAGCTTATACCAAGGGCTCAAGTAGAAAACGTCATGGAAATGATGATGGCAACACATGAACAACTATGCTCGATACAACTGATGGACAGAATGTTTTAAGAGCTGTAGAGCCCCATTAAAATGATACAAACACTTCTTAAAATCAAACTTAATGTTGTATATGATCTACTAGACACATGCAGTATTATAATTACAAAGAAACTCCTTTATTTGCAGAAGGCTATGGATGACAGTGTGGAACTACATAGGAAATATGCCTCCGGTGGACTCCTAGCCACAACTGAAGGATGGGAGGCATGGTGGTCACTAACCAGAGTGCCTAGGAGAGGTGAGGATAGAAGATCAAAGGCATAGATCTGACTTGAACAGTTACAACTCTGTCAGTTGATCACCACACTCCTGATTCATGCTGGACCTAATTTGGTTTTCAACATTTTCTGTATTTTTGGTCTCTTTTGGTTTTGTTTGTTCATATTATGGTGTATCTCAGGGGTGCTAGGTCACTTTCATGAAGTTGTGTCATATGTTTTTCTGTGTTTCAGTTTTTGAAACTCAGGATTGAAGAACCTACACGGACAGCAAATAGAATAAGGGTTTTAGGGGGGTGGGGAGGGGTGCAGTGGTGGCTGGGAGGGTAAAAGGGAGACAATGCCAAAAAGCCCAGGAAGAAAAAGAATGTTTGGAAACTGATTGTGGTAGCAATTATACAATTCTGCTTGATGTGATTGAACTATGGAACGATTTATGTGTTAACTCCTAATTAATAATAAATTTTTAAAAATAAAAAAACAATCTGAGAAATTATGTAACTCTACCTTAAAAAGATTTGATTAAACTTTTAAGAACCTTCTACTCAATCCTCAAATAATTCACATTTCTATTATGTTTAATTTATAATATTCATTTATTAAAATATGTTGTTTACAATAATACAAAAGAAGCTCCTTTATTTAAGATCACGTTTTTGTTTTTTTTAGTAAAAGGCGAAAGATTTATACGATCTGAAGAGAAACCAGAGTATATAAGATCAGATTCTATAAAGCATTTTTAATTCACCTAATCCCCATCCATCTTTCACCTCCATATATGATATTCATGCATGTTAAGGATTCTTGGATATAATCTATATAGCTATATTAATACTTAGCTTTCAAACCAAAGGCAAAACACTCTCTCTCTTACTTAAGCAAAAATAAAGAAAAAACATAAATTACTTACATGCTAATTTATATTCACATTTGTTTACTTTCTCACGAATTACATTTAAGGCAATGGGCTTTTTGATGATGTCATAGTAGTCTGGGACCTGTAAAATAATTCAAATATATCTTTTTCTATGCAGCAAATTTGTCAGAGGAAAATACTGATCAAGTACATAAAGGCTTTGCACCTGAAAAATAACTCAATATTAACTTATTAGTCATATTATTCCATTGAATGATGTAATGGATTTAAGTCATATTGTTGTAGAACTCTGTTTGCTGCAATAAAAAGATGTGAGCAGTCTATTATAAAAAGAAAACAATCCTGTTATTTGTTTTCTCCTTACATACAAACACTCAAAAATTACTTTTTGGAAATTCTAAATGAATTAATGTATTTTACTTTATCAAGACAACACCACCACACATAAGTTCAGATAATTTTAGAGCAACCTTAACAAGTGATTCCTTAGTGTGAGCAAGACAAAAAAGAGTTAACATGAATTAAGATACTGAATGCTTGGATTATAATTTAAATTTTACAAGAAGTACATTTTTATCATTTCTCAATTATGTTTTCTCCCTACTTTACTTTGTTTTGTCCACACGCATACCTCGGGGCCTTGCCGACAGACTTCACGGCGTGCAGCCATCCCCACCCGCCTTTTCTGCATGGCTCCTCAGCATGAACATAAACGAGCCCAGCTTACCAGCTGCTCTTGCCAATTGGATCCCAGAGACAGTTCTTAAAGGAGCATGATGCAAAAGACAGACATTCTTTGCTACTTAAGCAACATTATTTGTTTTTGTTTTTTCATTATTTGGTTTTAAGAATACTTCCAGGTGCTGATTTTTTGGTTTAGAGTGCAGAGAGTATGTCAGGGCAGTAATCTTGGTTTATACAGCCTCTGGGAAATTTCGAAAATATTTTACTATGGCTTAGGAAAAAACGTATAGAACAAATTAGTTTGCTGTTTAACAATCTATAGACATTTTGTGTTTGTAACAGCACTGTTGCCACTTATACCCTAGTTTTTTGTTTCCAAGTGCCCATCTTTCCTGATCCTCCCAGAAAAGTCCAAAAAAATAAAGCCTTCTGGACATTATTTTTAAGCAAATGTTTTCTTTTATTTGATACAGTTGACTTAGTACATTCCTCCTGAGTGTAGTGTTATTATTTATAGGCCTTAGAAGCAAGGATGCTCCTTAGATGGTGAGACATCATCTCATGTACTCTGGGAAAAGGACACCATATGTGGGAAAGGGGCAGTGAAAACAGTTCTTCCACTAAAAACAAAACTTTCCCAGTCCTGCTATTCCGTTCGTCTCAAATGCTCAAAACAATCACTTCAATAATACCATTATAATTTCTATTACAGTGTCACAAGTCTCTATTTCTGCCACACACACACATAAATCACCATAGCACTATTTCACCTACGTCAGCTAGGTTAGGCCACCACATGAACTAATCCCAGAGTACTATCTTTTTTTTTTTTAAACCAGTGCCATGGGTGCCATCTGGGCACTTTTCAGACATGTAAGTAGGGTGGCATCCTCACAGAAGAGACTCACACTCTGGAGAATGGGCCTGGCAATGCGTGCTTTAATAAGCCCTCCAGGTGATTTAGAGGTCCACTATTTTCCATAATATGAATGCCATTATGGGTACTTAGTTGAATTAACTCCATCATATTCATTAGACAGAATAAAAAGTTGAGGTTATTTCTATATACTCATCATTTATAAAAATTAATCACAATATTAGAAGAAACTGTGGAGATGACTATGCTATTTTAATTTTTAAAAATAAAGGAACCGTCTTTCAAGTGGATTGAAAACGAACAAACAAACCAAAAACAGTAAATAAAAAGACAGTACATAAAAGTTATTTTGGCTTCTTCAAAGTTGCCATGTAGACAAAATCAGATAATACAAACAAAAGTTCTTTATTTTATAAAGTCTAATATTATTACCTGAATTTTAGAAACCAGTTTCAAAAAAGGCCAGCTGTCATCATGCCGTACCAATTCTACAATAAGCTGTTCGAAAGCGGATAATTCATGAACTCCTCCCTGTCGACCTGAACTCCTTCGATTCAATATCATAGGAGATGATTCTGAGACAATAATTAAAATAATTTAGGTAAAAATGAAGCAAAGTATCTTATCACCACAAGCTGAATTGGGCATATAAATACAAATCAAACAGAAAACAGATACTTTATACCCAACTCAGGGTGAGCCCATGGGGTGTCATGGTAGAACTGGGCTCTCAGGGGACTTCAATTATGGAAGCAGAGCAACAAGCCCTATCTGAGGAGTCGTCTCTGGGTGGACTTGAACCACCAAACTGTCAGCAGGGAAGTATGTTTAACTGTTAATCACACAGAGACTCCAGCCAGTGATAACCCCATACAAATAATACTTCCTCTACCTTGCCTCCAAAAACAAACAATTCATTAGGTTAGCTGAAAACCCTGTCAAATAAAGTAATGCATTTTGACCAGGTAATAAAGAAGATGTATATTTTGAGGGAAGCAAAAATGGAAGAGAATTAAAAGAATTACAATGTGTTCTAATGAGAGGGCTGAAAAACTGGCCACACGCTACAACCAAAACTGGAATATCACTTACATTCTCCTGATATTAACCTGCTGTACAAGTAGAAATACTAATACTATGGCTTACCTCTATTACCCAAATAGCCACCCTTTCAATGAATATTAAGGAGTCTGGGTGGAACAATGATTAGGCGCTTGGCTGTGAAACAACAGGTCAGCGGTTCAAACCTACCCAGTGGCTGTGTGAGAGAAAGACCTCTGATCTCCTGGCATCGAAGCGGCAGCCCAGGAAACCCTGTGCGCCACATGAAGGCCCCACACCGGAGCAACAGTGAATAGTACACACTTCCTAACAGGTTGTACCCTCCTAGCTGTGTATCTTAGTGACAGGCTTTGCTAAATGATCCCAAGGATCTCAGTTTTTCAAAATTATTCATTCTTCCTGGATAAGAAATTGCTGAACTTAGACGTCGTCATACCTGCAGATGGTCTTTTCCTTGTTCGTCTCTTGGACTCACTATCTTGGGGAGAGAGTTTTGGAGTACTATTTAAAGCTCTTGCTGGTTCATGTGACTTCGTGGCGATGACTCGGAAGTTGTGGAAACTGGGAGCACTTTCAGGTGTATTACTGGCACTTTTCCTGCCCCGGCGTTTTCTACGAGGGCTAAGTAGTTCCACAAAGACATCTGTTTGCAGCAAGCCATGGCTCTGGCGAGTAGAACGACTGGCAATCCTCAAAGATTTAGTTCCCGTTGGGGGAGCAGATTTAATCTTTCTTAAGCTTCTACTGGTACTTCTAGGAGAAACAATGGTTTTGGGTGTACTCTGCTGACTCCTTGACGTGTATCTCCCAGGATCATGCCGCTGTCCACGGCTTGAGAAAGAAGAGTTAAGTCTCCCTCTGGTTTTAATTGGCAGTCTAACATGTGGTCTTCCTCGTTTTGGTGGGCTATAAATATTAGAAAACACAATTACTTCACAGAGCAATACTGAACATATTATGATTTCTATTCCCGCTGCTCTGCTATAGATCCACAGAGTTCTACATAGTTACTTTTCTATGCTACCGAGACTTATCATGCATCTAATTCTTTACACTGAGAGCCGACCATTTTTCATGGAAATGGAAATAAATGTGCTTCTATACATTTATTTTAATTGCAGAGAGAATGTAAACATATTCTTGCCAACTCCTGGACACTGTGATGAAAACTAAGCATTAAATTATGGTAAACCATAATAAAACCCTGTGGAAAAGCTCTAATGACGGCTAGACATAGTCATATAGAAAACTACAAAAGGCAACTAACCGCTCATCAGTGCTTCCAAAACGTGCCTCTTTCTGTCGCAGGAGTTGATCACTTTTTACTACCACTGACAATGAGGTGACACAGTTTTGGCAAGCGGTTGCCACCGAAGTAGGACTTGAACCAATGGTTTCTGAATACCAAGCCAAGAACCTCTTTGTCATCTCTGACTCTTGCTTTAAAATACAAATCTATCTTCAATCTTTCAAGGGCCTTTAGGTTTCAAAAAGGATGAAACAATTTCAGTAAGCCTCCTTTTTATCTGTCTCTGCACATACTTCTACTTTACCTAGTATATTGCCAAGGATTTTCTCTATGTGTTTTCATCTTTATGCTAAAACACCAAAGTGCCCTCACCAGCTACAAAGAAGACAGCCACTGCTAGCTGGCATTACATTGGGTGGAACCTATTCATTCTCTTCAAACTATAGCACTTGGCTGCTCTAAGCTGCCCCTGCTTGACATTCACTGTCCTGATCTCACCTGAATGGGGTTAAAATGTTTTTAAAAGGGGAGCATTGGTAAGAATGAAGAGCATAATGTGACTTGTCCTCGTGTAATTGGCTATGGAAGGCTTGCTGGCAGAAAACTCTTCATAGATACATATGAAAAAGTCTCAGCTGGATCAACAATCTGGAGGAGAAAACAACAGGACCGACGGTTCCGGGGTGACATGGGAGAAGGAGTACTGTGGGGAAAGGAAGTGGTATTAACAAACCCAGGGACAAGGGAACAACTGATCCAAAATTGGTGGTGAGGAGGGTGTAGGAGGCCTGGTAGGGCTTCATCAAGGGTAATGTAACCGAGAGGAATTACTGAAACCCGAATGAAGGCCGAGCATGATAGTGGGACAAGAGGAAAGTAAAAGGAAATAGAGGAAAGAACTAGGAGGTAAAGGGCATTTATAGAGGTCTAAATAAAGGCACGTACATAGGTAAATATATTTATATATGA